AAAGAATAAGATGAGAATGAGAAAACAATGACATAAGTGGTAATATATATAATGGTTTGAATAACGGCTAGTTTGAATAACATAATATTTATTATAATTTAAAGTGGTACTAATGACCATTTTACATAGGTGTTGATAAATTAAAGTGGTACTAATGACCATTTTACATAAGTTATACTAACTACATTCCATATTTTTTCCCATCTTATTACAATATTTTTCATGAATATCTCGTTGACTATCGCTCATAGTAGAAGTGTCTTTCATCATGATTTGCATTACCTTTACTTTTATCTCGTCCTCCTTACATTGCGCTAGTCTTTCCATTGCCGTTGTTCTTTTATTCCTTGCATCTTCTGTTGCAGTTGGAATATTATTTGTCCTACCCTTCCTTTTTGTTGCTTTTTGTCCCATTGGACGCTCAATTGGTGATGATGAGTTAAACTCATAACTTGAATGTGTATCTGGGTTCTCCGATGATGCCCCACTAGCGAAAGTCTTTGTTATTTTTGAAGAACTTCTAATCGATTCTCCCATCCATTTAGGTTCATCTTTTAACAGTCGCCATGCGTACTCAAGATTGAATGTTGTACCTTGATCCTGAGCAAAAAAAGCATGTGCAGAGGCCATGATATCGTTCTCCGATGTTCCACTTTTCTTTCCATTAACAGCTTGTTTGTAACACCCAACAAAATTTTGAACCATGCCATTTATTCGATGCCATCGACATTCTAATTGTCCCCCTACCTTTTCATGCGATTGTCCACGGTACTGGTTATAATTGGCAGCGACTCTTACCCAAAAACTCTCAGCCTTTTGATCAACTCTCACAATTGGATCCTTTGAAACATTGAGCCATGATTGGATAAGAAGTATATCCTTATCCCTTATAAATTGCTCTCGAGATTTATTTTTTTAACGTCAACACTTTTTTCTTTTTCAGCACCAACTTGAGTAGAAAAGGGTGGAAGTTGATAACCGAACATAAATCCAGTCGGTATTTCCGGTTCATGACGAAAAAATTCCATACTGTTGTACCCCAAAATTTGCCCTCCCATTTCCTCAACATTTTCTCATCACAAGACCCTTGAAGATCAAGATCCAATTAGGGTTTCCTCTGCTCAAGACTTCTCCTTGCACTGTGGACTCAAATTAGGGTTTGTGTTTGCCCAAGGATGTTTTGACCTAAAATGCCTAAGATGACTTTCATGCTTCATATTGGATTCCCAAGTTTATCCTCACCAAGTTTCCAGTCTTGAGTCCAAGTTTTGCCCAGTCAATTAGACAGATGACCTAGAAATCAGCTGTATTGGGGAAAAAGTCAACTGTGGCCAATTGACAGTCAAACCTCATGAAATTTGACCCACATCAACATATTGAACTCATATGGACCATTTGATCAAGTTTGGATCACAATTCCACAAGAAAATTGATCAGATCACCAAAAGGGCAAAATGGTCATTTTTAGGGTTTTGACTGCACAAAGGCAAGTTTTGACTGTTTGACCTAGCCAATGGCAAATCAAGCTCACATATGGACTCAAGGACTCAATGAAATGGTCTTGACACATTCATCAAGCTCAAAAGATCCCAAGTACACAAGGTTGACAGTTGAATTTCCCAGTCAATTGATCAATTTTGACTGTATACTGAAAAGTCAAACTTTGACTTTTTGGTCAAAATCAAGAGTCAAGATTCATTTTTCATCAAAACATGCCAAATCATGAAACTTGTTCACCAAGAAATCACAAAATGCAAATTAGGGTTAGAAAATGGAATTTTTCATAACTTAGAATTTTTCTAAGTATGAAAAACCCTAATTTTTTCCCAACTTTGCCCCATCTTTTCACCAAGATCCATTTGGATTCAAACAAAAGTCAAAACATGAAAGTTGTAGCTTGTTGCATAATCTACAACTTTGATTCACAAAGTTTTCTCATTTAAAGCCTGTATCTCAAGTTACAATTTTTTGAATAAGGGCACTAAACCATTTTTAACTTAGTGAAATTTTAACCTATTTTGACAAGGTTTTCTACCCCACTTCAAGGCCATTTTTCATACCCTTCCACTTGGAATTTCAATTTGCATTTCAAAGATGTATTGTAGTACACATTCCAAGCTTTCCAAAATGTCCAAGAACTCATCAAACAACCTCATAACTTGAGAGATTCGAATTTCACAAGTTGGCAAAAATTCACTTTTTGTTCTTAACCAAAACATGCTCATAATATTGCAATTTGAACTCAGCTTGCTTTAGGCTAGATTACAGGTCCTTAAACCAAGTGACACTCAAGAATTAAATGCAAAACCAATGTGCCAAGTTGTTATTCTAAGCATTTGGACATTACATGATGAACTAACCCTAAACTAGATAAAGTGAACTTTCCATTTTTGAAAAGATTAACTTTATGTCC